ACCAAAAAGCCTACAACATTGATACTTAAAGACTGTTGATAAATCATCAGCTTATTCAACCATTTCCAATTATAGTGTAGCCTCCCTCACATATTTACATACCCTCTTTGTAATAATTGAGCCCATTGTTATAGGCCCGTTGTATTTCTAGCTATGTGGGCCCAAGTTATCCCTGCTAATTTCCTAATATCATGGTCCCATCTCAGGTTTGGTTTTCCTCTAGGATTATTAATTCCTCGTATGTCCCAGGCTGTAATTGTTGTGGTTCATCTGTTGTCCGTCCTTCTTGCCAGGTGTCCTGCCTATTGCAACTTGAGGGATTTGACTTTGTAGATGACATCTATTACCTGATTCTTTTATCGTATTCACTCTATTCTTTTTCGGTCTTTCTTGTTATTCCCAGCATATTTCGTTCCATTGAGCGTTGTGCCACCTGCAGTTTCCTTATAATGTCCATTTTAAGAGTCCAGGTTTGCATACATCATAACTGGTAGTACACATTGGTCGATTGTTTTCTTCTTTAGATAAAGTAGCATTCTAGATTTGAATATGATTGAGTTTCTTCCATATGTACTCCATGTAACTTAATTCTTCTGTTGACTTCTAGTAGTAGAGATCCTGAGCTCGTGTTTTAGTTGTCCCAAATATATAAATTCTTCTACTCCATTTCCAGTGTTGTGTTATTTATTAGAATGTATTTTCTTTCCACTAGTTCGTTGTGCATTACTTTAGCTTTTGATAAAATTATTTTGAGACCTACTTTATGGCTTGCTGTATTTAGTTCGATCAAACTTGCAGTTCTTTAAGAATATTGGCATTTAAGACTGTTATCGGCGAATCTTTGATGGTTAAGATAGTCTCCATCTATTTTCAGGCCTTTGTTGGTTCATTCTAGTTAGCGGAAGATTTTTTCCGGTGTTGGCTGTAAAGAGGTTTGAATATATTGTTGCGGACCGGTGTGGACTCGACCTAACCTAACTATATGGTCCGCCCTCGGATGACCTTAACATCGCATTTAAGAATAGACACCGTAATGATTCATCGAAGATTCGAGAAGAATCGAGTTCCACTAGAATGGAGTAGTACATACGAGAACAATGAGATTTACGGGAATCGAGATCCTCGTTTGCTGCTACAACCCAAAGCTGAGATCAGGAGAGAAAACTGTAGACTGCTATTTCTACCAGACTTCGCAATGTACCAGGGGCCAGCTTTGCAAATACCTTCATTCACCGTGTACATCTCGGGACGAGCATGTACCTAAGAAGGGGGCAGTGTTGCGGACCGGTGTGGACTCGACCTAACCTAACTATATGGCCCGCCCTCGAATGACCTTAACATCGCATTAAAGAATAGACACCGTAATGATTCATCGAAGAATCGAGTTCCACTAGAATGGAGTAGTACATACGAGAACAATCGAAACCTTCTCTATGCACCTAACGATCTATGGACTATTCTAGTAATCTTTAGCTGTAGGTATAAAAGCCGGCGGCTGTGGCCTAGAGAGGGCAGTTATAAATAGACGAGTACAGTTGACGCGTTAAAATTCAAAATAAATTCTCAGTTATAAATCGTTTGTAAAGAGTTCTATAAGTCTTATCGTTATTGTTTTTGTTAATTAGTGTTAAATAAATAGTGTTTAAATAAATTGTGACTTTCTATCCACACGGAACCGACGAAAAACGTAACAATATCGTGTCTCCCTTGATTGATATATGTAGAGGGAAATGATAGATGGTAATTTTGGAAAGCAATTATAACTTATCTGCCTAAAATTAATATAAAATTATGACCAAGATAAGAAAAATACACCATTAATCATAAAATACGTTAACTTTTCAAATAGCTAATGATTATAAATTCAATTTTTCTTAGTTCAAATTAATGGAGTAACGGATGACATCTAATTCATTTTATAGAAACCAAAATCATTGTGAAAGACAATTTTGATTTGCATTTAGTTAGAAATTATGAAGAAGCAGATTTAAAATATTTTATACATTTATTAACAAATTTTTAAAAAAATCTTTATAGGTTTTGATTTTTGTATAATTCTCTACCATTTTTGCAAGTATTATGACGTTCCACTATTCCCTCTTTGTGAATTTATTTTACATAATTTATCTTAATTTATCAAAACAATTATTATATTTGTAATATTTCTATTAATTGCTTTAAGGCCAATTTATACCCAACGGATGAAACCGCCAAATAACAGAAATTCTGTCGTTTTCAACACAACAGCAACTGGAGTTCAATTACTATACCGGGTGCATTTCAAAAATGCACCACTATGACTTTTTTATTTTTTTCAGATAAAAAAACGAGATTTGGTATGTTAGTATATGACATAAATTAGGATTGATTGACGCATCCAATTGTTTTCGGTCACTTCCTGTTTCACCTGAAATGACTACAACTTTTGATTTTTAAATGGCACCCTCGATAATTTTTTACTTTATTCGATAGAAAATGACACTCTGAATAGAATGACTTTGACATGTCAACTTTTGACATTTTCGCATATGGTTTAATTAAAATGGTTCATAACGACATTTTGACTCGAAATACCAAATGTATGATATCAAATTATTCGTAAAAAAATGCTTTTTCCAAATATGCTAATGAGCCACCCTCCTTCCGTTTGAAAAAATTGAGATATGATTAAAATACGATTTGGGCATCTTTTAACGCCCCAGGATAAGACACAAAAACATTAGACTATCGAATTTATTTTTCTACGGCTCCTTGATTAAAAATTAGTGTTTTTAATTTTTAATACAGCCATGGCACTCTCGATTGAAATTTATTAACTAATTAAATTATTAACTAATTTTAATACTAAATTAATTATATTTTAAACGGGAACGTCAAAGGTTGACATATAAATTATTATGTCATTCTATTCAGAATGTCATTTTCTATCGAATAAAATAAAAAAATACCGAGAGTGTCAATTAAAAATCAAAAGTTGTAGTCATTTCCGGTGAAACAGGAAGTGACTGAAAACAATTGAAAACGTCAATCAATCCTAATTTATGTCTTATGCTGACATACCAAATATCGCTTTTTTATCTGAAGAGAACAAAAAAGTTATAGGGGTGAGTTACTTTTGGAGACGCACCCGCATACTAGGAAATCTACATACCAAGAAAAATCGCCAAAACGAGAAGAGGGCATGATAAGGATAAATGTTACTATAAGTACGACATATTTTAACGCTAAAAAAGTAAAGTGTCGACATATTAACCAGGAACGTGCATATGGGTTATCACTAAAATATTTTTTTCTAAAAAATCATGTGTGGCACTGACTTTTCTCACTTGTTAGCAATATTGTGTAAAATTATATAAAAAATAAATCTTGTTTTTTCAAACGTCAGAAAAGGCTTGATTGACAATATAAAAACGTCATTTTAACGCCTAGGCATAACAGTGAAGCATTTTTACGCCTAAGCAAAAAAGTACGAAAATATATTATTAAACTGAGACCTATGACTGAGACAAAGTGTCAAATTCAACGAGCCAGTAATCATAGTTTCCCGATATATAATTACTTACAAGGTATTAATTTTATTTTATTTTAGATAATTTGTAACGTTTGAAATTGTTTAAAAAATTATTTGTGACATTGGTAATGTCAAACGTACAGCCTCGCCACAAAAAGTGTCATTTTTACTCCTAATAAAACAATGTGGTGCAACCAAAACAAATGCTTATTCCGTAAACTCTGCTATTAACAATACTTATTATTAAGGTAGGTAACTTAGTTTTAATATTTTACAACCATTGCAATAATCCATCGAACAATATGAATTTATATTATACAAAGGTAGAATAAATTAGTATTAGTATGGCAACAATCGAGTAATCATTTACATGACCCTAAACACACTTTTTTTTTATTAGAACAATATACTATTTTACAAAAAAATGTCTATACCTATGTGGCGGATTCATCTCTCCAAAAAAAATCCTTTATGGGTATTTCGCCACTGCATTGCAAGAAAATCTACAAAATAAAATAAACAACTTGGTATAATGTCATTTTAACAGAACGTCAACGGTTTCTTGTAGAGGTATCTGTTTTAAAAAAGCAAAGTGTTCTCGAATAGTTGAATTTAAATATTTTAAATAGTTTTTTTCATTATTCTTTGTATTTTTAGCCGACCATACCAATAGGTGGGCTATTAAGATCGGCAAAAAAAGTTTTTTTAATTTCACTCAAAATGAGTTATTTGGGTCATAAATGACCTAAAAAAAAAATAAAAATAAAATATTTTCATGGTGTCTGTCTGTCTGTCTGTCTGTAACACGATAACTCAAAAACCGCTCAACCGATTTTAACCAAATTTGGCACAAAAGTACTGTGGCACCCGAGAATCTGGCCATTAGTTTTTGGTGGGGGTGGGGGGTTGGTAAGGGGGTAAAATCGGCGGTTTTCAATTTAAGATTAGGAATAATATTTGCAACAAAATTTGTAATAACATCAAAATCAGTCAAAGTCGCAGTTTTTGAGATAAAAAAAATTGGAAAAATTCCTTTACTTTGAAACTAAAAGAACTGCCTACCAACTCTTTATTATATATTTATTTTTATCTTTTTATTATACATATTTTAGTATGGGCGGCTATACGTGCCTCCCGGCGCCAATTTTTTTTTGCTTCCGACGACGGAAAGAGATAAACTTTCGGAAACGTTAAGCATTTTTTTCCTTGTTAGGCAAATTTGTATAACTGTAAACATAACTTCTGACAAACAGTGTGTGTTTAGGTTTAACGCCAGAAGTGTTTACAAAAAATAACTATTTTATTTTGTAGATTTTGTTGCAGTGCAGTGGCGAAATACCCATAAAGGATTTTTTTGGAGATACTATTTTACGTGATGAATCTTTCCACGAGAGATGGCAAAAGGTTTTGGCATCCTGCCTATTTTGACATTGAGTCAACACATGTTTGTTGATGAACATAATGATAAATAATAATTTAAAAATCTTACCTTTAAACTAGTTTCACTGAACGGCATCGCAAACCATGGCAATCCCATCAAGCTGTCACGATGGCTAACTTCAAAATCTCCATAGTTGTCATTGTGCGCCCACATAACCACTTGTACCACTTCGAGCTTTCTGTCCATTTCGCCGTTAGAACAGCTGCCGTTTAGTTTGTCGTAGAGGTCGTGTAGTTTTTTCAAGAAATCGTCACTCTGAGTGTTAATGTTGGCGAAACTGAAGTAGATGCCTGTGATTTGGACGCTCTGCAGAATTTCGGTAGTCCCGACGGACTGGAAGTCATTGGAGTTGTTGGTGGAGTCGCACTTTATCAGTTTCTTGCCGAAAACCCGGTCGTACCATTTAGCTTTCTCGCTCATTGTAGTGGCAATGGTGAGATGAAATTGGAGCAGAATAGTTGGTGGGCTTGATTATCTGGAACATAAATTATTATGTTATTTTCATAAATAGACGTGTTTCTTTGCAATTTTAAATTCTCTAATGGTTGTACAGGGTGGTCGAAATTGGTCTGTTTTAACAGAGAAAACCTATTTCCTGACTAGGTAGAGCAAAACCGACATAGATGTCATGGGCTCGATTTCTGAGAAACGTTTAATGACGTAAACCGCCTGTTAATAATTTCACTGTCAACTGAGATATGGGGTCTTTTTGAACTTTTTTCCATTTGTAAAATTGCCCATAACTTTTGTATTTCGGGGAATAATAAAATTCTGTAAAAACTTTCTTAAGGCACTTTTTTAAGCACAATCCATTGGCGTAGTCTTTTTCTAGCGTTTTTTTCTATACTTGCTCTTTTTGTCAGAAATAATAAAAAATAGAATTTTTTAAATGGAAATCATAGTTGGTTATGAACTTAAAATATGCTGGCGTTTAACCCTTTCCAACGATATAAAGCTATGTGTATTTATTTCTAAGAATGAGAAAAATATTAGGTTTTTTTATATTTGTATCGAAGCGGGCATTGATTTTGTGTTGACCTAGTTACCTAATTATTTTTTATCACAATTTAATATTCTATATTATTATTTATCTGCATAATTAAAGGCTTCTGAAAAGGTAAATCAACATTCTCTATTAGTATTGCCATTTACAATTAAAACGCCAGGGTTACAACTGATCTATTAAATGGGAAATTTAGAGAGAATTGGATTGGAACAAAGGGCTCCATATCTTGGTCCTGTGATTTAACTCCTTTCGACTTTTTTATGGGGGCAATTAAAAGACCTTATATATGTATAAGAGAAGGGCCATTGGGACGAGACAAGAATTGCAGAAGGTTACTAGGCAAACTTCTGGACTTATTAAACCAGTTCGTCTAGTAAATCGTGGTAACTCTGTGCGCAAAATATGTTTATTGTGTATTCGACAAGGAGGTACTCAGTTTGAACATCTTTGATGATTTTTTTTAGAAAACTCCAAAAATACGTTTTTTAGTTTTGTTCTTTGTTTATTTTCTCTATTTCAATTGTAATTACTAATATTAATATAACATGTTAATTTACCTTTGCACAAGTCTTTTAATTATGCAGATAAATAATAATGTAGAATATTAAATTCTGACAAAAAGAGCAAGTTTAAATTTATTTTCCAAAAAATTCGTTTTTTCCAAAAAACTCAGCAATACTTGAAATTTTTAAAACTTTTTTAACGGCATTTTGATGAACATCCCAAAGCGCAACTTTGCCCCAATACCCAGATATCCATGCTCGTATCTCGTATACCTCGAATTTGTAGCACCCTGTATAACTTTTAAATTTAAATTAACTGTATTTCAGATGACGAGTAACTTATTATAAGTTAAGGACCATGATTGTCATTAATTTAGCTCGTGATACAGTGCAGTTGGTTTTAATCAGATTAAAACATTAACGGCTTAACTGTTTCGCAGTCGTCTTGAATATGTTAATTTTGTTTTATCCGATTTAATGTATTAATTGGAAGGCTCACTTTCTTGTTTATTATTCAAAGCTTAAATTAAAGGGATCTACATAAATGTATCTACTAAAAAAACATTTTCCTGTTAGCTCTTAAATTTAAACAGTTATTAGCCTAGCGTAAACAGTCGTATGATGTCTGGTATGAGAGAATGGACAATTGCGAAATTCATACTCATTAGGATAAAAATTTGTTGGAGATATACAGGGTGTCCCATTTTCGTGTGTTTTATGGCCTTGACTTTTTACTCCCAACGCGTGAAAAGAAGTTTCACTTCAAAAATTCAACATTTTAAACTTGCCCAAATATTTTTCCGTTTAGTTTTTTTTGCATCGAGTGTACAGGGTGGTCGAAATTGGTCTGTTTTAACAGAGAGAACCTATTTCCTGACTAGATATTCATAATTCAGTGTATAATTTTACAGAATGTTTAAATATACATATAAGAAAACGGGAGTGTCTATTTGAAATAAGAAAATTGCTGTCGTATGCATTGAATGTATTCAAAATATTTTTTAATCGAGCGATGTTACTGTGAAATATCGATGAACAAAAAAGTTTCAATCTAGATTGTACGAGGCATGTTTTTTAAGTAAGTACCGTTTTGGAATTAAAAAAAAACGTGCAAAGATATCGCAATAATTTTATTTTTACATGAAAGCCTGTATCTTAATCTACTTTTCTACATAATTTCCGTGAATATTGAGGCACTTGTCATAAAGTGGCACCAGTTTTTCAATACCCTCCTCATAAAATTCTGCCGCCTGACTGGTTAACCACTGTATCACAACTGTTTTGACTTCGTTATCGTCTTGAAGACGCTGACCGCCCAGTTGTTTCTTCAAGTGCAGGAATAAATGGTAGTCACTGGGCGCCAGATCAGGGCTGTATGGAGGATGATCTAGAGTTTCCCATTTAAAGATTTGATGAGATCTTTGGTCCGATTAGCCACATGTGGACGGGCATTGTCATGCAGCAAAACAATACCCTTACTCAACTTGCCACGTCTTTTGTTTTGGATTGCACGGCGCAGATTGTTCAATGTCTCACAATAAGATGCTGCATTACGAGGTTGTACTTATTACGAGGCAGAAACTCCACTAGCAATACTCCTTTTCTGTCCCAAAAAACTGTGCACATGATTTTCCGGGCAGAAATTGTTTGCTTAAACTTCACTGTTTTGGGTGATGATGAATGTCGCCATTCCATGGACTGTTGTTTCGATTCTGGTGTGACGTAGGCCACCCAAGTTTCGTCACCAGTAACAATTTTGTCTAAAAAATCTTCACCTTCATTGTGGTACTGCTCAAGGAAAGTCAACGTTGGGTTTTGTGCAAATCCGTCAACATTTTCGGAACCCAACGTGAACACAATTTCCGGTAATTCAAGTTCTTGGTCACAATGCGATACAAAACACTACGAGAACATTGAAGAAGGTAGTCGCACAATGATGAAATTGTAAAGCGTCTGTTTTCTTTCACCTTTTCGTCCACTTTCTGCACCAAATCTTCATTAACGACCGAAGGACGCCCACTCCGTTCTTCATCATGCACATTTGTGCGGCCATCTTTAAATGCTCTCACCCATTTCCTTACCATTCCATCACTCATAATGTTTTGTCCGTAAACTTCACAGATCTCACGATGAATATCGATCGGTTATACGCCTTTAGCACTAAGAAATCGTATGACAGCCCGTACTTCACAATCGGCGGGGCTCACGATTGTCGGAGGCATCTTAAACACTCAATAAACAACGTATACAATGAAGAATCAGACTGTACTGGCGTCTGTGCATAGACAAGAGATGTAGGTAACCAGCGCATGCGCGGAACGCCGACCGTAGCGCTGCGGCGGCGGAATCGCAAAACGGTACTTACTTAAAAAACATGCCTCGTAGTTCGGTTAGGTTAGGTTAGGTCAAATCTCTAGGAACTTCCAATGTAATAGTTTTAATTATTTTTTAATGTCAATTGTACATTAATTGGTCAAAGTCTTAATCGAGGTAGTTGTACAGGGTGAGTTAACGATAGAGTAAAGTCCATTATCTCATTTGTTTCGATGTTTACAAAAAAAATATTAAATATAAAAGTTATAGAGATGGTTAAGATACACATTTTAAAATTATTATACAGTATACAGGGTGCTTCAAAAAAGTGTGGCGAGTATAACATATGTTTTTTTAAATGCAACACCCTATTTTTTATTTTATTTTTTGATTCTGCGTAAAATTCCATAACTTTTTTATATATAATGTTATATACCTAAAATTAAAATTAATAGTTTTTGTTATATTTAAATTTGTTTAAACAAATGTTAGATTGCAGTGGGTTAAAAAATTGTCAATGATAGCATTGATTCTGAAGTTGGACAACTAAAATTTGGTAGGAGAATTTTATAGAGATATAGAAAAAGACCTATGTAAAGATATTTTAGTTAGATGTTACAGGGTGTTCAAAATATATTTAGGAATTTGAACTACTTAAAATTAAGGAATTTCAAATTTTTTAAATGGTACATCCTATATATTATCATTTTTTCTGATAGATTTTACCAAACTCTTCAACTTTTATTAAGAATGTCATATACCTATTTTTATTAGTTTGCGATTTATTCCAATTTTTTCTATTTTTACCCATATTTTTAATACAATTGCGCTATAACATCATAGTTACCATACAAAAGTAATAATTATCACAATTTCATGTCTGTTAAGCAAGTTAAGAGCAAAATTTGAATTTTAGTTTAATTTGTTGTAATAAGTATAAATGGTAGAGATAATAGTTACAGATTTTCTTGAAATGAATTAGTCAATGTGATTGATATACACGGACAAGCTTAGAAAACCACATTTTTTGGTTCAGTACTATATATTATATAGTACTTTGCTAACTATTATAAGGATATAGATATATATTATCTAGAAAACATCTTCAGTGTGGGACGGTTTCGCGACAGTAGTAATATTGGCTTTACCAAATGAATTATAAACCAGAATTACTACGAGAAAAAACTTTACTGTATGTCGAAGAAAATTCATATATCAGTAGTCTTCAGCAATTAGGTAATCTAGTATTACCCTAATCTGTGACTATTCGCCCCGACGAAAAATCCCAAGTGTCATCTTTCATAATATAGAAATACACCAAGAAATTCACTACTGCGATTTAGTTTATTTGAGTAAAGTTAATTAATTTTAACTAATACCAGCAATTGTAACTAATTATGAAGCTATTTGTTAAAGGTAAGTAATAAATAGTTTTGTTTTGTCATGGCAACTATGATTTTATAAAGTAATTGTATTAAAAATATGGGTAAAAATAGAAAAAATGGGAATAAATCGCAAACTATTAAAAATAGGGATATGACATACTAATAAAAATTGAAGAGTTTTGTCAAATCTATCAGAAAAAATGATAATATATAGGGTGTCCCATTTAAAAAATTTGAGATTTTTTAATTTTAAGTAGTTGAAATTAAT